TGTTCAATCATTCTTCTGTGATAGCCATCTATCATATTTAGCTATTACTTTAATAATTGGTCTAAATTGTTTAATACAGTATTTGATTTTATTAACCCTTTTATTGAGCAATATGCCAGTTGTTTGAAGAATGCAGGAATGTTCCTGCTCGTTGCAGTATTCAACTAGATCTCGATGCCGACAGACGTGAACATTGCAGTAGAGGGAAACATTTTTTTTTGGTAATGGTTTGGATGACTCCGAATTTTGCAGTCACCTGGTATGAATGTTTGTTCAAATATATCTGAATGTCAAAGCAAAAGGGTTAATTGACTATTTTTGAACCTCAAAATTAATATTAACTGTTTGATAAATAGTTATTCAGGAGCTGCAAAATTTTCTACTTTAATTAAATTATACTAACAGTCACAAACCATAAACTGAACACATGCACAAACAAACATGTCGACAACTGTAACATTCTACAAAGTTGTTCTGTACTTTCCTATGTTTTACACATATTTTGCATTCATACAACAGGAAAATCAAGGAACATACGAAATATGAATTAGGAACATCAATATGAATATATTTTAAACATCCCTCCATATTACATTTGATACTTGTAACAGATCCACATTGTAGAGATGGTATAGTTGGAAACTTCCAACAAATTTTGGCTTGATTCAAATAAAATTATCAATATCTGATAAGACTCTGTTTAGAATTATACTGACATAGGGCCTTTATATCATTGTAACTTTAAAGGGTGAACTTTTTTGCTTTGCTACGATGATATGGTGAAGTTTAGAGTCTAAAAACAAAGAATTTCACCCAGTCATCCACCAGTGTGGTTTTTGTATATAGATGGATCAGAAAATAAATCTGACATATCTGATTAAGTAGTGTTGAGACAGTTTAAAAAAATACAGCAATTTTAGGTAATTATTGAATGAAAATTACCAAAAAAGAAAGAAATATTTATTATTCTGTAATAAACAAACAAAGAAGATCAGGGAATAATCTTTTTTTTTTTACTTGACTTTCTTCACAATTAATATGTATAAACATACACTAAAAACTCACCTCAATAAACCTACTAACACTCTCTTTAGTACCTCCAGTTTTGTGTGTAATTAACATGAGTTTATTTCTCAGATCATACAAGTCCTCCATATGATAGGTTCTTTTTTCCTCCTCTTTTTTACTACTCTTAGTTTTTGTATCTCTCACTTTCAGCAGTACCACATCTTTTAGTTCTATTTCTGATCCTCTCTGAATAAAATAATTAATAAATATAATAATGTTTTCTATAATACTATAAATTTAAAATTAACAATAAAAGTGAAGAACATTAAATTTACTAGAAACACAAACAGAGTACCCTGAACATAATTTTAAATCAATTTTTTATTCATATCCAATTACACTAAACTTCAAAGTAAACAATAAAAAAGTTGTTCACTACAAATTTGTGGCTTTGTTCAATGAGTAAAGCAAATATATTCACAAAAACAATATCCAAAATTTAGGTGTTCTTTTACAAAAGGATGAAAACTTGCCAGCAGAAATGCATTTTCATCATATGCAACCTTGTCTGAAACTTGTGCTCTTTGAACAAAGAAGATTTGTTACTGTCAACACTTGGGAATATGAGAAATTTAAACATACAAAAGTCACATCAAACCCTCAAAAAGTACTAAAACATTCATTACTATCAAATGCTAATACCATTACAACAGCTTGAAAAGTGTTATAACTTAGTTTTGTTCATAAAGTATCAATTTCAAATTCACAATTTTCAGAATCATATGATGTCTGAAATAATTATTGTTTCAAAGTATATTACTTGTGACATTAGCATTATACATAATTAAAACATAAAATACAGTGCTGGACAGCCATATAGTGATACAGCCTATATATTCCTACACACATACATCTAACGTATTTGTGAATAAACTCTGCCCAAGTTTCAAATTAACTTCTTTTAATGCACTGTTACTGTTGCCCCATATAAGGTAATAAGTTGGTTTCTCTGTTCATCAAATATTACAATTTTTGGTGAAGTCAGTGATGTTGACATTTATTAGTCATTACATCTCAAAAATTGGTTAATAAAAGTTATTTCATTAAGTAAAATGGAATGGCTCCTTACAATTACTTTTGTTGCTAACCTTTATATTCATGGATTCTCACTATTAACAACATCACACTTTGCTTATCACTGTTGAGTTATGACTTGTTGCAGGTCTCTTTCCAGATAGTACTGGTGCACCAAGTTGATCCAAGTTTCTTTGTTTTCAAATGCCATTAGGTATGAGGAATATCCCCATCACAGAATTCTAAATCCTCAATGTGAACACATCATTATAATCTTTATGTATAAAACTTTTGCTTGAAAAGGGCTACATATATTATTCACAAATGTGATCCATATTCAATGGCATCACACTACCTATGAAACACTAAATAATGTTAAAATGTAGTTCTTATACATACCATTCCCCTGTAACTTTATACTGAATATGATTGTCAAACGATTTGCTGATTTGCATATTCAAATACACTTTGATATAATGTACTAAATCTTCTATACACATAAAAACATATACTATCAACAACTTAGAACTGTAGCATTGAACAAAATCAGCTCTTGTTAGCTAATCTCAATGTAAATTGATGGCAAAGAATGTCAAACACTGGAATACCTGACAGCTTTCAAATCTTTTTTTTTTAGATAAAAACTAGACTGCACTGCCTGACAGGTACTTCTCAGTTCTAAAAAACTAGACTGCACTGCCTGACAGGTACTTCTCAGTTCTAAAAAACTAGACTGCACTGCCTGACAGGTACTTCTCAGTTCTAAAAAACATTGTTAAGATTGAGATCTTTAAACTATCAGACTTTCTGGGTATACTCATGTAAACTACATTTCTCAAACATTTGCATACACCTTATAATTGTTACCACTCTATTTGTAACTTGAATGTTCTTTTTGCTGTTTGGTTCTCATTGTAGCATATCTCTTGGTCTGATGTTCTTAGTTTCTTAAACATCCTTCTTTCTTAAAAGTTTAGATGTAAATCATTAGTTGCTATGACATTTCGTGCAAAAGGTATACAAGGGCTATCTGTGCTAGCCGTCCCTACTTTAGCAGTGTAAGACTAGAGAGAAGGCAGCTAGTCATCACCACCCACTGCCAACTATTGGGCTACTCTTTTACCAACAAATAGTGGAATTGACCATCACATTATAATGCCCCCACAGCTGAAAGGGTGAGCATGTTTGGTGTGACGAGGATTCGAACCCACGACGAAACAGATTGCGAGTTGGGCGCCCTAACCACTTGGCCATGCTGGGCCGTCTATTGTTGTGCATTAGCAAAAACACATCACATACTCAGACACGTAAAACCTTAGTTAATGGCACCTCAACAGAATAATTTCAATATAAAGCAGTATGACATGTCTCCTGAATTATTTCAGTAAATTCATAAAAACATCTAACATAATTAGAAATGAAAAGATCTTATATATATATGTATCACTAAATCTTCTCATGAGCTTTCTTTTTAATAAAATACAATACACTACTAGTTCACAAAAGTATTTTCTTTCTGGTTTTATAATAACCATCTTCTTTAGGATATCATAATACATTCAGTTTTGAGTTATTGATTTTGATTTCATTTTTAGTAATGTTGTTTGGCTTTGTTACTATTAACAAAGTGCCCCAAAAAATCTTAATTTCTTCAGAAACTATACAATAAACAAAACATCACTAAGAATAGTTATTATTTAAAAAACAAGAGAAAGAGTTCTGTGTCCAAACATTAAGCTATTATGCTATTATGCTATTATGCTGATGTAATTTTCCTGCCTTAATGGCATGAAATACTGCTCAAAACTTGTAATTGGTAAAGATAGGTTATTAAAGGTGTTGATACATCATACTACAGTTCATGTGTACCATTAATGCTAGAAAGATAAATTCAAAATAGCAGCAACATAATGAGGATACAAAATAGGACTTCAACACAATGTAATGTGTAGGTTGAAATACATAATATAATGACCAACTGGAAACTTAGTGCCTTAATCGACAAGTGCATGGAATTGAAACTTTATTTGTTCACATGTGAGACCTAATACTGAATGTTTGTTTCAGCAAATACATGTAGAATATATGTATGAACTTCAAAAGTAAAGCAAACTCTAGGTCAGGTACGTATATATATGTGTGTGTGTGTGTGTGTGTGTGTGTGATTACTAAAATATAAGTTACATGACTGATAAACTAAACTATGCAGCCAATCAGTGATAAATATACATTTGAAATAGTTTTTATTTAAAGCTGCATAAAGCTTTACTAATAGCTACAACTTTTATGGGTACTTTGTTGCATAAGTTAAACATGAATCATTTAGACAACATTTCAAAACAGAATATTACTTCAGAAAACACAAAATATGTTATATTATAACATGACAGACAAGAAGTTATCATAGATTTGTTGTTCAATACATTCAATCAAAATTACGTAACTTACAGTTTCAGAAAAATTTCATTTTGCATAAACATTGATGGGGTGATATTGATGTCAGAAATAAATGTGTGATAATTAAAACTGTGAAATTTTTGAAAATAAACATTAAGAAGAGAAATGAATATCAAAAATAAGTTACTGGTTTTGTTTCAATAAGTTCACCTTTTTTTTTAGTATTCAAACAACATTAAAAACATTCCTTCGGAAGTCTTATAACTGTATTAAAATCTGCTTCAATGTATTAGAGTCCACTACCTTTCTCAATATTTCCCCATATCCACCAATCTGGTAAATGCCACTTTCATTGATCATGTCTACTTTAGTAAGTGAAGAAGTTTCCACTGATCCATAAGACTGACAAACTTCCTCAAACCAAGCTTGAAACTGGGCCGAACTTTCCTAAAAATTAGTTTAAAAATTCTGGAAATTAAATTCATTTGCAAAGCTGAATTATTTTAATTACCTGAATATTTTCATGTATTTCAATATATCTTACTATCTTACCTGCAAAGTAAAAAAAATTAAAATTTTTTATAAAGGTTTTATATTATGTTAGTATACTTAACTTAAAGATATATTTTTTGCATTTAAAAGTATCCTTCATTAAATCTTACATTTTATTAACTTATAATAGCTTCATATACAAAAGGACACTTATATATCAGTTTGTGCCATTATCATTTCATAGACTATACTCATGATATTTCAAAGTTTCATTTCTTTTCCTTTCGAAGAAATGTAGAAAATCATTTAGTACCTTTATGCTTTTAAGCACAGCAGTTATCTGCAACATTATATGAGTCATACATGGTTTAACCAATCATACACGGATTTAAAGAAATAACACATAATTCCATGCACATCAAAAATTACACATACACATATTTATATATATGTTTCAAACTTAAAATAAATTGAGATACTTCCATTGCAACTAATAAGGATGCAAAATTAAGCAATTGCTTTAAAAATAAACCAAACCTTCAACAAATTACAGTTACTTATAATAACAAAGCTAAAATTATGTAAAATATTTGGTTAGGTCTCAATCAGCCTACTAACATCTATTACACTAAAATCAGTTGACAGGTTGAATTTAACATTAAGTATTACAAGATATGTAATTAATATTTATATGTGGAATGAAGTGAAATACAGCAGAAGTGAAACATAAAAGCTGGGTAATAAGTAGGCTAAATAGTTTTTCATATTTTAAAACAACATATCAATGTATGCTCCTTCTTTCTTCTAAGTACTACAAAACTATTGTTTGATTCTTATGCTTACTGATTGCACTAACTTGAAATTAAATACAGTTTACTATATATTTTAATTAAATACTTTTATTTTACATTTATCACGATAACCCAACTTGGATACTTTCTAGTACAATGAATTATTCAGACTGTCATTGTTTGTTTTACAGCACAAAGCACCAAAGCTATCTAGACCCTGCAGACTATAAAAAATGCACATTTATAAGAGGGAAAAAGCACTGACTTTCAAGACTTTCTATCAACAGCTTCAGTTATATGATAAAACAATAAACTTATATATGAAGCTGAGAGATGTTACACCAGCCAACTCAAATATAAATAACAAAGAAGAAAAAACTGACACTTTTAATTTATGATATACTTTTTAGTATATATGAAACCACTGATTATCTGAACTAATTACCTCTACAAAATATATTGCAATAAAAAACATTTTTAGTTAATTGAATATCTTTCCCTCACCAGTTTGTTTGCAACTTTTGGATCAATTTCTAGGTTTTGCCAACATTTTTTACATGCACTCTC